TTTTTTTTTTAGTGTTCTGTCTGACGACAGGTCCCTATGAACAGGATCCTTCCATCCTTTTCTCGGACTGGGACCTGTTCATATACGTTCTTGGCAGATGATCCAGAAGTGGTTTGCCATTGCCTTCTTCTGTGTGTGAATGGAGAAACCGGGGAAGCCCCAGGAGGAAAACTCCGTGTTGCAGAAAATTTAATCGGTGTCATATTCCCACGCTGTTTAATTAATTTTCGTATATCGACCAATCAATGTTTAGTAGTGGGGGATTCGGTTAGAGGCGTTCGAACTTTGAATCTCAAAGACGACACAGGACTGAGAATAACATTCTAACTCTGCACCTGAGAAAATGACAAACATAATCACTTCCTAGCAGTTACTCGTGTCAGAATATGGCAATAGAATATGAAAGAAGTTTTCTGTGAGGCCGAGACGTCATTTTATCTTCTCATGGTGGTCGAAAGTTTCTGGTACCGCTACGATCACACCACAGATGTGAGGTAAACATAAGTGGTGAGTCCGAAGATGGCTCTCTACTGTGTTATAGAAGTTTACCGACGTTTCAGCGGTCGTTGCTTCGTCTATGACTACCAGACTGTACGGCGCTACAACCCAGAAGACAGGAAAACGTGCGCTGTGAATACTCCAGTTTCATGTATTGTGACTAAAAAATTGAGTTGCACTGAGACATCCGCATTTTTCACAAAGGAGATAAGCATTTCAATTAACGTCAGCGATTCGTCAATAACAAAAGCTGGAAGGTGAATGCTATTTTGATTCATATCGCTGTACTCCATGCTCGAGGGTTCTTCTTCGCTGTACGACAAACTCGTGACGTTTCTGTAACTCCGCGAGATGGAACGCAAGTGCGAACATCTAGTGGTAATGAACTGCATTGGCAAGAAATGTTCTCTGATGGAAGTGAATTGCATAGAAATGGATGACACTGATGAGTCTTCTATGTATTAGCCGTTGAATATCCTTTGCGATCCTACACTACAACATAATTTTCTACTCGTCCTTACAAGAGAGACGCCCGCCAATGGGAACTCACGTTCGGAATTCGATGACAAATCCTTTTGAATACCAAGGGACATACGAAACTGTCCATGGAGGAGGAACAGATATTGACAGACAGGGGAAAAAATTAATATATTCTAGCTCCCAGTCTATAGGGAAACATTCGAACTTTGATTGCATCTAATTTACTTTGGACAGAGAACAGTTCCGCGTTGCGAGAATTGAAGTCGACAGCCGACGCTGGGGAAGAATGCCCTCGGCCAGGTGGGCTCTTGCAAAGGGATCACTCAACGAGGAAGAAGCCACTCAGTTCCGCCGTCCGACTTAATAACACATATTGCATATGGAAAGCCTCTTCTGTACAATAGCAGCGGAGCAGGAGATTGACAAAGGACGGCGTCTACTGTATACGAATCTTAACGTAATTATTCATACAAAATATTATAACGAGCTGTAATCGGTACCTTTATAAATACATGCGTTGGCAACGTCTCCAGCTGATTCTAAGTGTTACATTTTAAAGAAATTCTACTTCTGAGAAGTAATTATGCCCGTAAAATGAGTTAATAAATTCAAGAACTTAACGCAAGGTCTGAAGTTTATCCTATGTTGTTACAGAATGCAAACACAAAACACGTAATTTGCTAGCCGAATTTCAAGTTATAGTCTAGTATATTCTGTGTGTTTCTTATTGGCAAGGGGCGACATGTGGATTTTGAACACGATTAAAAGCAAATGACAGATCTAAGGATGTGGAGATGGGAAATGGTTAGCGGTGACCATCATAATGGTAGCTCAAGTGTCCCCTTGCTTTGATCAGATTACAGCTCCCCGACAGTTCTGCGGTGTTCCGTTGTTATTGAAGTGAAAGGTGCAGTGGAGTTATACTGGTTCTTGATAATATTTGATTCTCTTTATCGAATCGTTGAAATATTCCGTAAATATCAAAACCATTACTAACCTAGAACTTTATTGTCGTATTTAACTGCTGGACATTTGACTGTCATACTTCTGGACAAACCCTCTACCCAGCGACGAGAATTAATTTATTTAGTTAATACAATAATTTAGATTTGATTTTTGTATGAATTTATGCCTGATCACGGCTTATGGAATTTTAAATTTGATGAAATTTATTGCTGATTTCCGGTCAACATAAGTCAAATAAAGTTTCATATTCAACAAACGTCATAATGACCTGTACACCTGTCATTTCAATACCACAAGAAGATTATTAACAATTATTCATTTCGAAGTTATGAGAGAGCAGAACGAACTCTGTGGAGCAGAGTCTTACTTGTGAAACTGATAGTCGCTCAGATGTTGAAGAAATTACCACCCTTTTAAAGACATGAAGGTTCATTACCGCGTCGAAAGGACACTGCCATTGATCACACACTGAGTGTGTTTATCCAGTCCAGACACTCTAAGTTAATTTTAATTATGTTGTCAGAATTTTCGATTAATTAAGTGCATTTTTAATCTTGTAATTTATTCATTCGTTGATATCCCAGTCAGCGTTTTATTTTCAAACGTACAGAGTACAGCTGCCGGGAAAGAGACTAAAGTTCAATACATAACAACAGTGAAGAAAATGAGTTGTTGACCACTTTTTGTGATCTTTGGAAAAGGTGCATGAGTGCTTGTGTTTGTCCGCTCGTTTTCTTTCAAACTTATTCCACGGAATTTTAAAAAAAAAAAATGTTGCTTTTGCACACTGAACATTCTTAAAGCGGCGTGAGATTCGATTGCTGTTAATATCAATTGATTTGTATCCGCCAGCTCAAAGATAATTTAAGAATTTGCACAATTTTTTTTCCGAAACCCTGTCAAAATGTGTCGACCTGCTAGATAATGTTATCGCACGATCAAAGCCATTGATCTGTTCCCACTGATCAAAATGTATTGTATGCAATATATCTGTCGTTCCCTACTTGTATTCGGGAGGTTCAGTGTTCGAGTCTAGCTTTATATAACATTCTCATCCCTTAACTCTGTCTTTCTCGGAGCCAGTAAGCGTCATAAAATTGGCCACTGCCATCTTCGTCACTTGACAGTCGTTACAACCGGTTAAGTAAGTCGCTTACTGGGAAGTGCTGCGGGTTGTATAACTGTCAGTCAGTCGGCTGGCCGGCCGGGCGGGTTGCATAATGACTACTCTCGCGTACCCTTGTATGATGAATTGGTGACTGTGAAGCGATGATAATGAAAAATACATGGACGAGTTCTTCAGTGCATGGAGTCATGACGACAGATTTCTATTACAATGAGGAATTGGAGGTCCAGATCAAAGTCATTTAATTAACTTCAGACTGAGGTTCGTCGTGGTTATCTTGAGGTCGTTCAGGCAAGTTCCGGGATAACCTGCTTTATTTCACATCCTTTCCAACTGAATATGCATTAATCTACCTATCATTCACAAAAAATAAATCAATAGATAGGGAAAAATGGACAGAAGGGGGTCTTTTGAACGCTTCTAATTCTGATGCGATGTTCCGCCTCAAGAGTTAGTCGGTTTCCGTTTTCCTGAGTTGAAGAATTCGCCACACGTGTTGGCATTGCTTTAAACATCGAGTGGGACAGGATCTTGTTAAAAGCTTTTACACTGATAGAGGCGAAACAAAGTCGGGTGTAGTGATATTTATTGAATATACCGCGTAATATAATTTTCAGGATTACTACATTTTTGTACTTTGTCCATCGTCTGGTATTCAAAAAAGAACGCAATCTTTTGGAAACTGGATTTGTTTCCGTCCTCAGGTGAAAATCTAAGATCTAACCACAGCCCAGTCCAGAACAGATTCAGTTTCCGAAAGATTGCGTTCTTTTTTGAATACCAGACGATGGACAAAGTACAAAAATCTATCAATCTGGAGTGTAATACACCATCGTCAGAACCCTTTAAAATAATTGTCAGGGGTTCGTTATGCAACCCCACTCATTACACTTATATTTCCTTGTATCACAAAGTAGTTTTCTTTCGTGTCATCAGCAATCATCGTGATTATATGTAAAGTAACAAGGAATTTTGCCAATTTCAGCACAATAAATTTAGCGCTTAGAAATATGTTTGCAGAAAAAGGGCACATTCTCTTACACATGTCGAAATCAGATTTATTTACGTCTGAATAAAAGAATAATTGGTAACAGTATTTTAGGCGTGATCGTAATCAAATTAAAGAATCACTTATTATCACATGTCCGTCCGTCCGTCTAGAGATTTCTCTCTACGGACTTCGCATCGCGGCCATTGCTCGAATGTTTCGGACGCCAACTCTGTAATTAAAAGTACCGGGGGGCTGTGGTCTGACTCCATCGCAGCGTCGGAGGAGCTGGCTTTCCGA